GAGACGACTGTAAAATTAATTAGTTTAGTTAAAAAAACCTCTCGAGGATCTTTATCTGCATTTCTGCCTGTTTTTTTATTCTTCGCTCATTTAAAAAATAAACTGTTTATAATTCAAAAAAACCCTCAAAGCTCAGACATTGTGGAGACGATGCTCTGGAGTTTTACTTTAATGTTATTTTATTCAAATTTCATCTTCCAAATACAGTAGAATAAAAAAATTGGCTAGAAGATGGAAATTCACAGTATTTTCTTCATTCCAATTTTAGTATAAAACGTTGCCACACTGAACATTTACCTCCGAATGTTATGTTGACCATGAAAAATGCTCCCGTGGTTTTCGATGAATATTAATATCTGATGATTACGGTTTCGTGGCATCGTTGAATTCATTTTTTGGTCTCATGTGAGTGACTGGTTCTGATTATAACATCTGTTCACCACCGGTTTAGATGGTTAGTAATGAAATCGCTCTCCTACCGGGTCGAGTGTAACCGTGCATTTTTAACCACAGGCACATTTCATTAAAAGACTCGTAGCTCTGCCATTTTTATCTGAAGATCGATGCCGATTGGTTCGTGTTGTTCCTGAGAGTGAAGATGAAAAACGTACTGAACGTGACCGGTCAAATCCTTTGTCTGTTCCTTGATTTAATCGGAACAGTTTAGTTTTACCACGTGAACTGTAAATAAAGTGTATTTTTCATTAAAACTCACTTCCATGTTAGTGGATGAGAAATAAACCAAATTAAAAAGTCAAAATACACATTACATTGTGTTTCGATGACAGTTTCAGTCATTTTGTCTTATTCTGATGTTATTGTCTAGTTAATCATACACACGTTACAATATTTTCTTTCAAACAAGCCTCTGGTTGAACAGGTTTGTTTTTTTTATTCCACCCACAAATGAGGTTTCTCAGTTTTCTGTTGTAAACGTTGAACAGTTCCAAACAAGCTATAACATTAATGTATAAACCTCTGAATACAGGCTTAAGTATAATACAAATATATAAACTATTGTACCCATTTCAGAGCCTCTGTGCTCTGAACGTTAAGTTTTTCCTTCATAAAATATTTTACAGTGCACAAAACAACAAAGCTGCTCCACGTCTGAATAGAAATAATCCCCCAGCTGTGGACCAATCATTAGAAAACAGCACTCGAGTGACACAATCAGGTGCGTTTCTGAAACAGAAAAAAGAAATCATGTTGTATTGTTCCCAGCATTGTTGAGTTGTGCCTCGGAATAAAATTATTTCGGGGCAAATTTGTTTTTCTCCGGTAATTTCGGAGCAGAAACCGGCCTCGGTGAAGGAGCTGCAGCCTCCCTGTTGTTTGTGCCTGCGCTCACACGACCATTACTCTTCCCTGAACTCAACTTTTCATTAGAAATTAGGTTTGTTGCCACTGATACACCGTCAAATACTTCAGCCTCGCAGATAATGCAGCGTTTACCCGCCTCGACAATTAATTCTTCTGACATCCGAGCGCATTAATATTCATTACCCGGTGCCACTTGTGACAAACCGCCGCCCCCGCGCGCTGCAGATATGATAGTGAGATGCTGTAAAAATCTGCTCTTGGCTTTTTTTTGTTTTTTAACGGCGCTGAAATGATTAATGGCTTTTTGTGTGTTCTTGTTGTGACGGCCTGGTGTTGTAAGTTTTCTGCTTATGTTCAATGTGTTGACATGTTTCGCCTGAGTGCATGTTTGGTGTCAGGGCTGAGTGGAGTCCGTGTGAAGCTGCAGCGGGCGGAGGTCAGGGTCTGAATCCCACCTGTGCTGCTGCATACGAGGAGGAACGACCTCTTTGAGGCCCCGTTTACGTTATTATGTTTTTGTTTTTCAACGCGGTTTAAAAACTTACGCCTGAAACGGAAACGTTGTCGGCACCGTTTTAGTTTGAAAACTCGACCTCATCGTTCGTCCGCCGCTCTTACTTGTCAATATAGCTGTTCCTCGTTTGTACTATTTCCTGTGACTAAGCAACTGCTTCCTGTTTACAACGTGTTTAAACGCTTGTGTGGACGGAGATCGTTTTAAAAAGCAGTTTTAAAATGGAACCATATTAATATGAATGCAGTTTTAAGATTTAACCCTCAATCTCTGACAGTATCGTTTATTATTTGAGGAGACGTATGGCCTCGTACACTCAGGGCGATTTTCATTTTGCTCTAGTTTGCACATATATCTGATGTGAGGTTCACTCTTAAAACCTCCAGCTCCGCTTCTCCTGCTGTGATCATCCTCCCGTTAATTCAAGCCTTTTGAAATCCACACATTAAATGTTTGTGAAGCTCAGTCAAACTTTATTTAAAAGTAACACGAGTCGTCGTCGGTCTCAGTCGGAAAAAAAATCCAGTTTTCATCTTTTAATTTCTTTTTCAACGACAAATTAAATCTTCACAGTCGCTCAGGGGGATGACAGAAAAGACTTGGAAAATACACACTTCAATCAATTAAGTCCATCTGCTGAAGCTTCATATTAACTTGAGGTTAACTTGCGGAATGGTTTTTCTCACAGAACAGGGACTGTGTGGATTATGTTACTCATCATCGCTTAAATTAGAAACTTGTCCAGTGTGAACAGGAGGAAACTGTTTTAACGTACGTCTGTGTTCTAGACTGATGTTCTGAACACTGTGTTCTGAACACAGGACACACGGGGCATTAAGGGCACGTGAAAATAATAAAATAATGATAAAACAATAATGTGAACTATGACGACTTGATATGAAAAAGATTATTTTTTCTAAATTTCTGCCAGTTTTGTATCAAAATGTCCCTTTTTTTTATATTCTACTGTTTATTTTTCTTTTAATTTCACAGAAACACATTTCATCCTGACGTTTCGTGAAACAGCGCAGAGCCTCTCACGTGGCCGTTACAGTCGAATCACAAACCGAACCACCTCCACTCCGACAGAATGAGACGTGACAATGACCAGAGCTAAATTATCACAAGAATAGAAATGAAACAACCTCCAATAAACTCTTTTACTTTGAAAGGCAGCAGGCAAAAACAACAATTTATAGTCACGACCTGAATTTGAAGCATTTATTGTGATTGGTTTTATTATCTACTTCTCTGTGTGTTTATCAACTCAGGTTAGTCTTGTCTGTCTCATATGTAGTATCATAGAAAGAATCTACACTGGATAAAGTCTGAACTGATGAAGCAGCAGAACACGACGTGAACTCAGCCTCGGTTACTTGACGCTTTTTGAAATATGCTGTTTTTCCAGCTATGAAAGTCAGTCAATAGTATTTTATTGTCACATCGATCCATTAACAAGATAAATATCTACAAGGTACTTTGTCCTTTTCCACACGAAACCCTAAATATTATGTTTCCTCTGAAGGATCCAGGTCATATTTCTACTGGGGATGAAGATTTCACTACTTCCCTGAGACCTGGAGACGTCCAAGATGGCAGCCAGAGTTCATATGACATCACCCGAAAGCCGAACGCTCTCTAAAGGTAAATGTGGACAAACTGCTGCGTAGATCCACTCAGTGAAACACGTGATATTTGTATTGCAGCTTGGGAAACTGTGCGGTAACGACGAATGGCTGCAAAGTGTAAAATTCAGCTGTTTTCTCACCGGTTTTTCACGAAGAAACGTAGAAGAACATCGTCGTTATTTTTAATATTCATGAGCTAAAATCACTAAACCTCCACGCTCCCTGTGAGATGTGATATAAATACCTGCTCGGGCATCTCAACCGTGAAACTGTTGCATTTTCACCTCAAGCAAATTTCATGTGCGAAGAGGTCGGACCCTGCAAAGTGGGTCATGGTCCACGAGGAGCTCCAGAAATGTGCTCCTGATTTAAACACTTGTGGAACGTTGGAAGAAGACATGGGTCGGGAGGTAAAAATCAATCCCAGAGCTCCACGGCTCAATGTGTTTCCAATTCCTTTAAAAAACGTATATTGTTACAGTTGAAGGGGAAGATTTTCATTGGGCCAATTTCATGACATAATAACCGGCAGCTTCTCGAATATTACAGCGGAGGAGACCGGGCTCCTCAGCAGCTCCGGCAGTTGCCAAAGACGTTATCCTCCGCAGAACCAGAATGCAACACACCAGACTAAATCATTTAAAATAATATGCATCTGGTTCCTGTCAGGTGCTGGAGGATGCGTTTAGATTTTGTTTTGTTTCTTTTCAACATGTCTTTAAGCAGCAGCTCCGCCGGGATTGGAAATCTTTTCCTGCAGACACCTGGCCGAGATAACCGGGTTTGATCGGCCACCTGGCTGCGACATAATGAGTGTGGAGTTTCACGGCGTCGGCAAACAAAAATGTGCACCAACAAAAATGTAATTAAAAAGCAGTGTGTTGCAAAGGCGTATATATTAAGTATTGGAGGAATGAGGAGCGCTTGGTTATATAAGTTGCGATGTGTTTGGCAAACTGCCACCGAACTGAAGAATTCAATTTGCCTGAAAAGAACTCTGCCGCACAGCGTTTCATCCAAATACGTCTGAAGCACTCGAAGGTGCAGTGAAGAGTCAGACATCCCGGCCTCCACCTGGCTTCATCACGCCACCGCACTGATGGCTTTTCAAGAGCTCCGTGTGTGTCTTTGTAACGTCAACGCAATGAATCACACAAGCGGTGCACCGTCTCCCCTCAGAGACATTCATGGTGTCGCACTCAAAATTAAACTTGAGCTTCTCTAAATCCAAGCAAAGCAAAACAAAAGAACCACAACGCACCACATCCAAAAGTGAACGAGCGGAGTTTCCATCGAAGCCTCCAGAACATATGCGAGAGCTCTGCAGCTCACCCCTCGTGCGTCCGACTGACCCGTGGTACGTGTCGTCTCTAAAACTTTGACATGTGAGCAGCGAGCCAGCAGCGGACGGAGCGTCCAGCTCCTGCAGTGGTTGCGTGTTGCGTGCAGTGAGTGTAACGTGGTTGGAGGGAGGATTCATTCTAAACAGGAAAGACAACACAACAGAGCTTGTTGAGGAATGTTGAAACACAAACCTTTCCCGATGGTGCCGTTGGGGACCAGCGAGGTGTTGATCCCCTTGGCCATCTCCAGATTGTTGGTTTCCTTGGTGACGACTGAGCCTTTGAGCTTAGTCTTCGGAGTGTCCAGGGCTTTTAGCTTCTTGGCGTGTTTGGTCCCCTTGTAGTGGGCCAAGGCCTGGCTCTGTGAGGAGAACGAATAACGGCATCAGTCTGACACCGGAGGAGAAGCTAAACACAGGGACAGGATGAACGATGAAAACAGTCAGAGTCAATGAAGCAGACTAAATATAATTAGCGGGGGCTAGTTGACGTCTCGCAGTCCAGTAAAAAGCTGCCAATATTGATTTATTTTCTGCCAATTTTCAGAGAGAAAACTTCTATTGGAGTGAATCATATACCCAGCAACCATTGCTTCTTATAAGTTATTGAAGTGCTTTGATTCCGGATTCAATAAAAACTGATCTTGAAGAAGTTTTCCAAAAGGCTAAAATAATTGTTCTAAACATTTTTTTTTGTTTCTTGCACCTGAACAAATGTTGAGATAACAAATTATATAAAAGTAGAAATAAGAATACTTGGATCTATGTATAATTCGGAAACTTGTGTGGCCCGTGTATGTTTAATTTATGTTGTGGCCGCCTGGTTGGAAGTCAGATCACGTCTTGCCACCAAGATTCACCTTCGGAACAGATTCATCCTGGCACACAGAAGTGGGACATATGCAAAGACTTTGAGCCGTCCTTGTTTACCTCCGCACACTTCCCTGCATACATTGCCCGTGGCAAGAACGAGGGTATCAGGGGGATGCAATTGCCTCTTGGAATAAATAAATGTGCCAACCACACGTCCCCCAACGGACGTCTGTAAGCATCTGGGACAAAGACACAATTTCCGGTCGTATCTGCACATAACAACGTAAGAACACATTGTTCTGGTTTCCTCCTCGGCTTTTTAGTATCTGTCGTTTGAGCAGGGGTGGGATTGTGAGAAACTGAACTCATGATCTTATTACAGAATGAGACAAGTCAAGAGGTTTCATCACAGGAGGAGAATGTGGTTGCTGTTTAATAGCTGAATCGACTTAAATGTTTTTTTTTTACCCCTCATCCTCCGAAAAACCGTTTGAGATGAGGCGTCACTTTTTCAAACAGGGCGTGCGTCTTCCTCTGGCACCAAACTGCCCACTTTGACCCACATCCATCACCCTGCAGGTCCCACGGACAGAACCGATTTTTCGCCATGAGACCCAGGTGATGTGGGATGGCTGCCGAACGTGACCACAGCAATAATTCATCTTTCATCAGAGCAATGGAGCGGAGGAATTGCCCAAACCCCAAGTCTGACACGGGCATGATTTAAAACACGGAAAGGAAATCATTTGTTTTCCTTTCAGGTCCTCAGTGGGGGGGGGAGAAAACCACTCTGAACGATAAACGTGAACCAGAACGAGCGTCAGAAGATGTTTAGCTTAACTGAGCCCTGTCGTTAGGTAGAAGATGTGTTGTCAGTTTGACTTCTCTCTTCAGGACTCACACATTTTACTGAACCTATTTTTTCAACTATTTGATATTTGTCCACAGAGCTTCCCTTCCCTCATCAACTCCACTTTGTAAACATTTTCTAGCCATTTTTACAAAGTCCTGACATTTTAATGACATTTAATTATGTTCTGCCCCCTCTGTTGGTCGCTTTAACCCTTATTAAGAACAATTCATGGATCTTAACGAAAGAAATGAGGCATGGGGGACTGACGTCTAAGAGTGAGTGTGAGTCGGTGTTGATAAAAATCTGGATCTAGCAGATTTAAATGTGGTCAAGGGGGGGGGGGGTTCTCAGCAGCTGTACTTCTTTTAACAACTTGGGCCAAACACCTTTAATGTGAAGCTGAGATAATGTGGTCTCAGTGGGAAACTATATGTCCAAACAATTCTGCCGAATGTACAGCACATAGAAGGGATTGAAAAGCTGTTAATCTCTTATCCCCAGAGTAAAGGTATACGTGGACAGGACATATGAGTACGCAGCATAACAAGCACTCAAAAAGAAAGAACACAACGTAGTGCGCAGTCAAAAGGAACAGGGTAAACAGGATGTGAGTCATTCCAGATTTGGTGTGGACGGGGTGTTGGCTATGAGGCGTAATTGGATTTGGACCGTGGGGTCTTGGGGGAGGTGTTCGCTCTGCCGAGTGACATTCTAGTTTAGGAAGCACAACAAGGTTAAATACAAAGTGTTTATCTTTATTAAGAGATGTTCTGCTCGTTGTGACAAACCCACATTTACAGTTCAACCTAAACCGAGACACCATCCATCTAAACACTTGAATCCACGTGCCGCTGCACGGCTCTGTACAACAGTGTCGACTCTCAGGCTTGTTTGTGAGCCGCTGTGGCCGATGAGATAAGTGCTAGCCTGCTAGCCAGCTGAGCTACAGCCAGTCAGTCCCAGCAGCTCCTGGACATTATTTTTTATGTTCTCTACCATTTTATCCCCTTTACTTCCTACATCAACATTTCTGCCTCCTGGCATTTTGTTCTCCATTGCAGTTAATTTCTGCAAATAAAAAAAAATAAAAAACGCTCCTGAAGATGGAAAACTAAAGCTTTCACACAATCAATGAGAAAATGTCTTTTCATCGAGGACGTCCCTGTTGCTGTTCGGAGGGAAAATTGTGAATTCAGACCAGTTTAAACAGATTGAAGCTATAAAACAAATCATATTTATTTATATTGAAAACTGCTCTCACAAAGCAGGAAGGTCATGATTTCACCATTTCTATTGTTGGTTGTTTTATTTGTTTGTAAAACTGCTTTCAGACATGAAGTGAACTTCAGAGACGTTCAGTTCTGGGGAAAAAACGATCAAATCGATTCCCCAGAAACTCGTTTCGGGAAGAAATCATTTCAATTTGCTGCAGATGCAGATCAGGCCTTTAACTTCACATGTATCTCAGTAGGAGTTTGGTGAAGCTTGTTTGGATTTAAGGGGACTATATTGGTGGAGGTATGAGTTCTGCTGAGCACCATCAATACTTAAATACTAATCTTCAGACCCACGTTGTGTAAAAGGAGGATGAGCCAGCTTCTTCTTTTCTTTTTTGTGGAATAGTTTAGTCATTTTTTTCTCATCTGAGGATTTAATCATTTCATTTGTGGAGTCACTAACATTTGTGGTACTGCAGGAGTTTATGCACCAGTTTTAGTCGGTGATAAATCTTTATGACCCACATTCACGGAGAATACACCGAGCGGACAGTTGTATCATAAGGATGCATGTTGCGTAGAGACGGTGTCCTCAGAGCACGTAAATTAAAGACAACAGTAAAACAGATTCTACAGGGTTATTCACCTTATAATGAGCCAGTCGTTACATCACTCCCACTCATGCCAAAAACCCTCCCATGAACATTCTTGCGGATTAACTACGACCCCCAGCACAATCTCATCGCACTTCAAGGGGCCTCTGGTCATTGTATTTACCCATAACACCCGGGGAGCCGCTGTGGCCCCATACACGCCGGATGTGTCTGTATCTGTGGGGGTTGGGGATTATATCAGGTATCATGGGAAGGAGCGGCAGACTGATTTGTGCAGGTCGAACATGAGACCTGTTCAAACACGTTCACAACTTTTTCTTAGTCAAATGAGTAAAAATGAAAGATTTCCCTCGGAGTTGTTCCACAAAATAGAAAAATATACATGGAGTACGTTGAAATTGTTGTATTTCCAGTTTTATAGTCAAGTTAAAATCTACACAATATGCAAACATGGGTAAGAACTTAAAGAGGTTAAAATGTACAGTGACGCTCAGTTCAGACAAAAAACACGATGAGCATGATGGTCCGTCCTTCACTTCTGTGAACTTGTGAGAAGTATTCTAAATGATGCTTCCTCCCTTCTTAGCGCAAACTTGAACGCATACGACTGATGAGAAAATCATGCCCAGAAGCATCAAGATGCCAAATCCAAACGCAACCCCGATGAGGGTGTGTGACACTCTGTCCAACCACGTCATGAGGTACTTCATGCACGGTGTGGAATACACCTCACGTCCGTCCACAACAGTGCAATTCCTGGAGGTGTCCGTGCAGTTACAGGAGTTGGGCACTACCGTGGAGTTTCCCCAGTCGAGGGGTCCGACAAAGAATCCGCAGCAGGAGCCGCTCCTCTCCAGCTGCTGAAGCGACTCCTGGACGTCAGCCGGCGCCGCGCTCAGCGGCAGCAGCTCCTTGAGGTGCTCCTTCACCACCTCCTGGGCGGCCTCGGTCCTCGACAAGGCTCCCAACACACCCACGGCAAACATCATGAGAAGCACGGAGAGCAGGCCCACGAAGAAGAGCGTCAGCAGGCAGCGGTCCTCTCGGATGGCTCCACAGCAGCCCAGGAAGCCCAGGATCATGGTCACGGCACCAACAAACACCAGGAGGTTTATGGCCGGGAGAACGTCGTCTGTGATCGGGTAGTCGACTTTGTTGCTCCTGGCGTGCACGGATAAACTGAGAATAGTGATTCCACCCACGAAAAATATAAAGTTGAACGTGAAGAGCAAGTACTTGATGATCTTGTTGACCGCCATGGTTCCCTCTCCAGTCGAGTCTGAGCTACTGGACCACCGGGGGCTTGAATATAACAAGGGAACCGAGTGGGTGGGAACTTTTAAGTCATTCACATTATCGGGGGTCATGCTTAGCGGGTGAGGGGCCACATTGTTGAAAGCAGGGCACAATGAAAACTGACCTTGCGAGAAAACTTGCTCAGCCAGTTTTGAATGGTTTCCAATGACACCACTTCCGGATGCTGTATAGCAGCAGGGAGGGCTGAAGCATTGCTCTGAGATCGTAAACCTGGTTCTACGGAATATAATGGATTGTGTTTCTTTTCAAATCAGACACTCAGAAGCCACATGAATTTAAGTTAGGGGGTAAAAAGATTCCTCCGGCATGAGGAACAGCAAACGAGCATTAAATTCAATCAGGCTGCAGCGAATTTTACACATTTAAAGACATCAGTTCCCCAAATATTTGTTTTCATTAATAGCCATTGATTATTCCCTGGGAACGCAATAAAAAATATATCTCACAATGTTAAAGAGAGTGATAAACGATTCCTGGATCCACCCCCCTGACTCATCCCACATCCTTCCACCAAGTTTCAACTCCACCCGCTGGTTTTTATGTAAACAACCCGTCAAACAGACAGAGGTGGAAACAGAAGGTCAAAATTGGGAAACTTAGCATTTTTCTTCTTGTCTTTCGTAACTCTTCACAAAATAATAAAGTAAAAACGAAATATCTGCTGTTTTAACCCACCAACAGAAATCATATTAGGGTTTGATATATGGAAAATAATGTTTTTTTTATTTTCATTTTAAAAACAACTGACATTTAAAGTGGTCAAATACAGAGAAATTTGCATCAGATGCTGAACTGAATAAAAAAAAAAAACTGCTTCATTTACAAGAACTCGAGTAAAGATGAAAAAATGAGGGAAGCTGAGTGAACGTTGATGATGTAAACAGGTAATAAAGAGTGGATCAGATGACTCACGACTCAAATTACAGCCTTCAGTCCCGTTAATGATCCTGACTCACGAACACGCCCGAGTCCACTGAATCAGTAACGTCTTTTAAAAACAGAAAATCTTTTCTCCCCCAGACTTCAGGGCGTCGAGTCTGTTTGCAAACCAGCGTTAATGCTCTGAGCAGCACGGATCAGTGTTTAGCAGTGATGGTTGGTGCTCTGCATCATCTCTCAGTCCGAGCTGCAGTTTCACATCACGATAAACAGTCACGCGGGGAAATTAAGACACCGACTCGTATGAAAACTAAAAACCTCCCGTCTCCCCTACCTGTTGATTGACAGCTAAACGCAGCCTCTCTCTCTAATAAAGCTTCAGAATTAACAGCTGATCTACAGCCGACATATTCACCGAGACGGATTTCAGCGTGTAAAACATAATAACCTCACGATGAGTAATCACTGACAAATTCATTGTTAGAAATTGATTGATTACTCCTCTAATGAAAGAGCGATGGCGCCGCTGTTCAGGGACGCTTCAGATTTAACAACACGCAGCAGTGGCAGTGATTTTCTTTTCAGATTTTTTAAAAATGGCTCTCAAAAAATTATGGAAATGAGACGCAAGGGGAAACAGAAACCCTTCCGCTCGTCCACCGGCTCAATTAAGCCAGTGATTATTAATTCATTTCATTAGCTGGTATTGTGGGAACTGTTGTTGGGTTTATAATCTTTATCTCCTTCCTGTCATCGCTTCTGAGGACACGATGTGTGTTACTCAAATAAGCTGTTTTCAGAAGTGGATTCTGGAAAATGTCTGGAGTCTAGAGTTTGTCTTTCACACCTGAAGCAGGAAAAGCTTATTTTCCAGTTCTGCCTTTGTCAACTCTGCAGAATTTTATTTTACGAAGATTCAGGTCCGAAAGTAGCTCATGAGCGCTAACAGTTTTTTAAAATCTGGTAGATCCTCATTTTAAATTTGGAGCTGCACCAGATTTCTCAAACTCATAGTGGACAAGTAGTAGAAAATGCTCAGAAGTATCCACAGTAGTAATTCTTAGTTTGTTGATTCTGGATTTCTCCTCGTGCTTCTGTTCACTTCAATTTGCCTGTTTTGTGAGTTTTAGTATTTTGGATTTTCTGAGTTATATTTGTAATTTTTGGATTCAATATTTTTCCTGCTCCTCCTGTTTTGTTTTTTTTGTATGTTTGCAAAACCAACATACGACAAATGAACAGGGTTGAAAACACAACTCGAGGAAACTGAGGAAATACGACACGTCACCGTTGAACAGCTGCCAGCGCTTATCTCCACCCCCCGTTGTTTCATCGTTGTTGAGATAATCATACCTCTCTCACTTTGAATGGATTTCAGCCGATCGCTCCCTGATTCCTTTTACATTTTATTTGTCATGCAAAGAAAACAATCGCCTGTTTAACACATCCCCCGCACGCACACACACACACACACACTGGGGTGTGACCTGCAGAGATAACAACCCGTTAACGTCCCAGCTCCCAGAGGCCGGTCACTTCATTATCTACTGTGACGTGATCATTCCCCTCGAATCAAACATCGAGCTCACTCTTTGTTCCACTGTTGTCTCTCCTGACTGTGTGTAGACTAGATGAATGGGCGGCGGAGGAGCCACCCCCCCCCACCCACCCAGTATCAATATACATTATTTTTTTAATTAACAGAGCGGTTTGTTAGAAACTCCAAAACACGATGAATTAGTGAAGAAGAACACGTTCATGGTTTCCTGACTATCGAGCCCAGCCTCGTCCGTTTGTGCTTGTTAAACATCAACAGGGTTTTCTGTGGCTTTAGTGTCTTTGATGCCAGGAATTTAAATCAATTATCTTTACGTGTTTAAATATGAAGTAAGTCCCGTTGTTTTAACAACTGGTTGAACTTCTTTAAGTCGTCATTGTGGAGGAGGGGATTTGTTTTTTCTGTCCTGATGCGACCGTCATAGTTTCCTCTTTTGTTTCTTCTGTGTTTTTCTCTTTTCTAGTCTTGATGACAACTTTACATGTAAACCACAGATTGATGGTACAAAACACTGCACATGACGTTGAGGGACATATTAATCATTTTGCACACATTTAGTCAAAGAATTGTCAAGTTGAAAAGTTGCCCTGATGAAGTTAATGGATCATCAAAGTCAGTGTGATTCATCCTTTGAGGGGCAGGAATATATTTGCAGATTATTTCATGGCAATCCAACAGTTTGACATATTTCAGTCTGGACAACGGCAGACAGACGCTGGCATCCACAGCCAAACTGCAGAATTTAACTCATTTCTTTTCTTTCTGCACCGCTCACACAAACCACATTTCTTTTTGAGGTTGTCACGTTGTCGTGATGTATTTCTGGTTTGGCGTGAATACATGTGACTTTTCATCTTGAGCGCTGTGGAAAAGTGTCTCACCTGTGAGTTAAACCTCAGCTGGCAGACGCTGCAGGAGACGTGCTTCCTCTTGGCGGTGGGCGGGAGGCCGAGGGTGTGATGGAGGACGGCTTTCTGCACCGGGTCCATCTGGAGGACGGAGAGAGAGAGAGAGAGAGAGAGAGGGAGTGAGAGAGACAGGCCAATTAAAACAGTGCTAAAGCTGACCTGTAAATCAGCCTCGCTCCTCCATCAATCAGCGGCTGCAAAGAGAAAGCAGGTTGCTCCGAGTCTCTTGTAGGCGATTGCAGCTCAGACATTAACACAGACGAGCAGGAAAATGAATTCCCCATGTGCGGCCTGCAGGCGTCTTTTAACATGAGGATTTTATTGTGGTGGTCGGAGGCGCAATCCCACCAGTGAACACTCAACGCCACTGGTGCTGTTTCATCCAGCTACAACTGAATTACTTCATCCTGCCGACTAGTATCGATCTTACTCAGCCGACAAATCATAGCGCTGCATTTGTTCCCACATGACCAGTGAGTTGAACATATATTAATGTCTCTTTAGTTTCCGCGGCAGCAACAAATAAAACAAAACAAACAAATATACAGTCGCAATATCCCGATTTTTAAGAAGACGATTATTAATATTATGCTCACAGAATAATGCAGGGTTAAAATCCAGCACCTCAAACGCAGTAACTATCTGGTTCACCCTCCAACGTGCTGAGTGATTAGCTATGAGGGTGGAATTAATAATTATCGGGCTCCCTTGTTTGGTGTGTTTGTGGTGACTCAGCTTTGAGGAGCGAACACGTCGGCCTCCTGAGAAAAGGCTCAACAGGCGCCACTTGGCCGGGGAAGGTGGACGGTGGAAGGTGCGGGCGCCGCGTGGGAGGATTAATCCACACTGACAACTGTTCGGCAGAGGGAGGTCACACTGATGCTCTGCTGTCACTTTCTGTGGACGATGTTTGACTGAACCAGAGCCGCTCTCATTATTTAGGGGTTTTCAGAAGTATGAGAGTGTAGAGGGAGAAGAGGTGTGAGATATTCTCAGTTGGAACAAATGTGAGATGCTGTGCTACATAAATAAAATAAATAGAAACTCAGGAATCATGACATGAATGTTTTTCTCAATATTGGAAAAAGTTTGCGCTCTAATGATCATTGACAATGATAATTGTGATTTCTATCAGTTACTCGTCCCTTTCAAGACACATTCTATACATTTGATTTGTTTTTATATATATTAGAATATTTGACTTGAGATAATTAGATAATTAGATTTCTACGATTATACGTTTATCGAGTAAACGTATGTTAAATGATTGTCGGCGCTGAGTTAAAGAGAAGTTGATTCTATCCTCTGGCCTCAGGCAGGACGGTGGGATCAGACGGGAGGAGCAGTAATCGGGTGCAGGTGATGGTAATGGATGAACCGCTGCAGCAGCAGCTTTTGGCAACAGAGCCGATCGCACATAGACTGACTGAAAACAGCTCTCTGTGTTTACACCGTGGGTTCATCCCAAGTCCCTTAACTGCAACCACGTGTCCCCCGCTTAGGTCTCTCCCCCGCGTCCCTCCCACTGCAGACGTGAGGAGAGATTCAAGGGGAAGATGAGAGGACAGGATAAGAAAAAAAAAACTTGAAATGAAAGGTCTCCTCCTCTGAACTGTCATGTGAAGTGACTGTCTGCGTCTGATGATGTCGACGCTGCTGAATCAGCTGTCACCAACTTTTGACGTCTCACAGAAACTGCTCTCTGTCTCTGCGCTGTTCTCAGATCAGTCAAACCACAGCGTGTAAATGGGTGAAACTTCGGAGCAGCGTGTTTTTATAAATCTGTTGATTTATCGACTGCTATTTGGTTTGCAGATTCATTCACTTATAATTCAGGTTGCAATTAGAATCTCCCATGATTTGCAGTGATGACTTACGAGCACTGATTTGCGGAAAGTGGAAATATAAATATTTCTGCCATTAAACTTTCATTTCTGGAAATTACAACAGTGAAAGTAAAAGACATAAAAGTCTTGTTTTTCTCTAATGCACTGTAATTTATTGATTGAATGTAAGTTAATGGGCAGTTTCAGATCCAGTCCTTCGCTGCAGAGTTCAACCACTGACATATTTCCAATAAAGGGTCCTGTTGATCTGATAAAAGACGTCAGGAACCGAGTCGTGACCCTCCAGGCCGACCCAGAGGGGCCGCACAGTGGTTTTCTGTGCTCAGTAAAACTATGAGGACCAACAGACTGGAACGGGGAGCAGTGACGGAGAAAAAGTAAATCTCAGTAAATGCAGGCTGAACAGATAAAGACTGTTATTGAGAAACAGAGGCAGGTTCAGGTGAGGAAAGATAGAGATGATAAATCCTCGCACTCGTGGACTGTGACTCAGAGTGACGAGGAGGAAGAAGAGGGAAGTGGTTCTGACGAAGCAGACGGAGACGTTCAGGTTGAGATAAAGGATTCATTCAACACGTTTTTAATTTTTAAACTAAAATAATCTCCGTCCGCATTGAATTTAGAGACAGATTCAGGCTCCGGGGACCTGCGGAGGATTTTGGTCCTGACTTTCTCCAGATCTTTTCTTTCACACGCGAACAAGCAGCGAGAGATTCTCCACACGCGTCGTGGGGATATTGAAATGAATTGCTGGAGTTATGTGCTCATATAAAATTTAATAAAAGCCAATAAAAAAAGATTGTTTTGTTTTGAGGAGAAAGGCCCATTAATATTTCTCTTGAGCTCCACTTATGTAAAAATGCTTTTTCAGTAAGAAGCTTCTCTCCTGGTCGACTTTGCTCTCGTCTTCTATCACTTCTGTCTGTTTCTCCCTCGGAATGTAAATCTCAAATATGATGTAACCGTTGTTTTCAAACAGTTCACTTTTCATAGATTGGTTCCAGTAGCAGTCTCACATGAATCACTCAGTGTTTGTTTGCAGCGGTGCACCGTTTCACTGGGTGGGTGTTGTTCACACACTTAGGAACCACCGAGGTACTCGACATGAAAGAGTTTGAAAAAAAATGACTGAAACGCTCGCGGTGGGAATATCATGGGACACGCAGACAAAGAGCTGGTCTGCTGGGGAGGACGATAATCTGTGGGTATAACAACCAAGCTGTACGACCCAGCTGGGGATCGAACCGCAATCTGCTAAAGTTTGGACTAGAGATGTTTCAGAATATCAGAAATACCTTTGACACGAGCAAAACTGCTCGGGTGGACATGTGCGAGTACGTACGCACCAATGATCGAATAACTGATCAAACTAAATTTACCAGAAACGTGAAAACTTGAAGAAACGTCAGTGTGAGAAGAGCGATCTAAAATGTTGTTTGGAGAAACCTGACGTGTAATTTGACTTTTAATTTTGGTCCGTGTCCCGTATGCTGGCGAGGAGGAGGAGGCGGGGTTTATGACCTTCACTGCAGCCAGCCACCAGTAGATTTTAAACACGGGCGACTTCTCAAACGTAAAAGCTTCTAATTACGATATGGATCAAATGACCACAGAGAATTATCACCGGACTCTGTGCGTGCCCTCAGTTTTATGGAGCGTTTTAGAGTCTTTCAGCTCATTGTTTTGACTTTACAGCCGTATGCACCTTTTACTGCAGCGGTTCCGTCTCGCTGCTTTCATCTGCATTGTTTCCAGCTGCAGCCGGCCGCAAAAGTACTCTGATAAAACCTCCGCATGCTACCCGGTCAACAGCAAACAAAGTTAGCGACGAGTTGCTAAACATGGAGGAGCGTCGAGCTGCTGAATGTGAAGATGTTTCCTTCAGGAATCTGTAGAAATGGAGGTGAAGACAGGGAATAGTGAACTTAACTGCAGATGAATGCTAGCGTGTCTGCTGGATAAATTTATGAAATGAAATTTACGAGGTGATAATGTGTCACCTCAGCCTTTACCGCCGCATTAACATAAAAATATTATTTGGTTGCAAGTCGTTCACTTTCTCTCTGAGAGGAATTTAGATGGAACTGAAAGTCACAGAGTTAGATTCTCTACTAAATGTTTCTACTTCAGTGATTATTTGCAGTTACCCTGATATTGGCACATTAACATACACACAGACAGAAGAGCGGAGCGGATACTGTGCTAATAGAAGCTTTCACAGCTTTAGCAGTTTGACCCTCACACACCTACACCGGCAGGGTTATCATTATCAGCTTTTAACTGGGAACGCATTAGTAAAATAAACAGTTTGAGCGGAGCGTTTTTAAAGTGGACGATATGAGGAAGGAAGCTCTAGAACACGAGAGGTGCCGCTATCAGATCCCAGAGTTCATATCGCTCTCATATTAAACACATCTGTTCTCTGCTTCACTGATTTATACTCTGTGCAAAATCAGCATTACAGAAAACGCTCCGCACCAAATATGTGGGCAATGTCAGAGAGGCAGGAGCGGCCGATGCTCGCTTCTTCAAGTGAGATGCACTTGGTGATGCGCAGCGAAATGTGCAAAGAGATCAGCCGCTCGCCCCGAGAACACGGAGGAATTTGCATGATGTTAGCGGAGCAGGGGCTCTCCTCCGCCTCCGGCCTGACACACAGTTGCTGAATTGGAGAGACAGAGAGCGTTACGCAACAGTCTTCTTTTGTACTGTAAATCTCACCCAAGATTTTTGGAAGCGAGAGGAGGTTGACACATGGAGTTGGCCCCGGCTCGCTGGCAAGGGGGGGGAAACACAACAGCAGAGAAGCAGACGCACTGCAGCCTGCTGGGAAACTGGGGCCTGAGCTCTGGAAAGCTCACGCCAGTTAAAAACATCTGGGCCACAAGAGAATGGATGACCTCTTACTAGAAACACGCACCGGGACAGAAACATGTTATTTCTCCCTCGCTCTGCTGAGAGAGGAATCTAAAGCGATGAGACCACGAGACACCATCCTGCAGAATGATCACAAGACACATTAGTTCTCATTCGTGGAAACATCATTAATCACTGGGTATAAAGTGGTGAGAGAAGGATTGAAAATTCTCAGCTTGAATTTATTCCGCTGTGCTATTCTAGGCAGCGTTGCTAATTTACCCACAATTCAGCGCCAAAATTCCACCACCTCTTGTGCATCTTCGAGAAATCCCCCTGTCATGTAGCATTTCGCTGCCTCGCTGCACTGAAACACGA